GTCAAAGGGATGGCAATGCTACAAGTACGTGGAAACAATTTGGTTGTCATTAAACAAACTAACTTTATCTTTGACTCGGTGGAACAACGAGTGTGTTTGGACCACGTTTAGCTATCTCAAAACGAAATGTTCCCACTGTCTCTGTCTCAGAGTCAGTCGTCTCATAACTGTCAGTGTTTGTCAGTCTGAAATGACTAGGTTAGCTACGTTAGCTAGCTAGCTTACAGCAGATCTGCAGTAACATCAGAAGGAGTCATGTGACCACATTGTTAAACATTGGACCATAAAATAAGTTTATATCTGCAGCGTTTCTGAAGCTGCAGCGTTTCTCCCGATGGAGGAGTGCTAGAGGGTTAGAAGAAGGTGCAAAAACTAAAAGATAACTTACAAAAAAATACGACCCAATCTCACAGAGAAGCTGGTTTTGAACAGGAAATATATTCCATGTGTTTTGGTACAGACTCTTATTGCTCACTCTAGCTGTGCACGTATGACCAATACAAGCCTTGAACCTGGAACCTTGGTACAGAAGAGGATCAGAAGCCACAGGTCAAACCATATTTATTTTGAGTCTAGACAGATTTCAAATAGCCTATGCCTTTTCACCCCATGTTGGTGAAGCATGAAGGTTATTCTGTTCATACACATTTAACAGACAGAATCTCTCAGGATTATCAGCAGACGACCTCTGCGTTAACGCCCGGTATAAATAACTTTATGAAACGATAAACGCCTTAATGTCAGTTCCTCTTCACCCCCACTCCTTCCTGTTGAACTGGTACAGAGCTGTGTGACTGTGATGCTGCCCGACACTCTGCCTGTACAACCAGCCACACACACACACACACGCACACACACACACACACACACACACACACGCGCGCATGCACGCACGCACGCACGCACGCACGCACGCACGCACGCACGCACGCACACACACACACACTCACGCACACACTCACGATGCTCTTTTTGTTTCCAGCTGAGTGTGTTAGAAGGCGCACAGAGAGATGCATGCTGGGACTCTTTGTAGCCTGCTCAGTCCCTGGGGGGCATTGTGTGTGTGTGTGTGTGTGTGTGTGTGTGTGTGTGTGTGTGTGTGTGTGTGTGTGTGTGTGTGTGTGTGTGTGTGTGTGTGTACACTCACTGGCCTGGATGATATGAACACCAGAGATGAAACAGTGAGGTCGTGTCCTACTTCCTGTTCACAGCTAGAGGCAGAGCAGGTTATCGTCAAGAGGCTAATGCTAACGGACAGTCGCTAACGGACAGTCGCTAACGGACAGTCGCTAACGGACAGTCGCTAACGGACAGTAGCTAACGGACAGTCGCTAACGGACAGTAGCTAACGGACAGTCGCTAACGGACGAAAGCTAACGGACAGTAGCTAACGGACAGTAGCTAACGGACAGTCGCTAACGGACAGTAGCTAACGGACAGTCGCTAACGGACAGTAGCTAACGGACAGTCGCTAACGGACAGTAGCTAACGGACAGTCGCTAACGGACAGTCGCTAATGGACAGTAGCTAACGGACAGTCGCTAACGGACGAAAGCTAGCGCAATGACACTAAAGTCAACATGTAGCATGATGGGGAAAATAAAAACTAAATAAAGACAATACAGAAATATTTTTTACCTGAACACAAAGGGGAGTGGCTAAACAACACACACCTGAGAGCTGGAGGAAGCAGTGTCTCTACTTTAAAGAGTCCTCTCCTGCTGATGTTCAGGGGTATATCAGTATGTAGTGTCTCTACTTTAAAGAGTCCTCTCCTGCTGATGTTCAGGTGTATATCAGTATGTAGTGTCTCTACTTTAAAGAGTCCTCTCCTGCTGATGTTCAGGTGTATATCAGTATGTAGTGTCTCTACTTTAAAGAGTCCTCTCCTGCTGATGTTCAGGTGTATATCAGTATGTAGTGTCTCTACTTTAAAGAGTCCTCTCCTGCTGATGTTCAGGTGTATATCAGTATGTAGTGTCTCTACTTTAAAGAGTCCTCTCCTGCTGATGTTCAGGTGTATATCAGTATGTAGTGTCTCTACTTTAAAGAGTCCTCTCCTGTTGATGTTCAGGTGTATATCAGTATGTAGTGTCTCTACTTTAAAGAGTCCTCTCCTGCTGATGTTCAGGTGTATATCAGTATGTAGTGTCTCTACTTTAAAGAGTCCTCTCCTGCTGATGTTCAGGTGTATATCCGTATGTAGTGTCTCTACTTTAAAGAGTCCTCTCCTGCTGATGTTCAGGTGTATATCAGTATGTAGTGTCTCTACTTTAAAGAGTCCTCTCCTGCTGATGTTCAGGTGTATATCAGTATGTAGTGTCTCTACTTTAAAGAGTCCTCTCCTGCTGATGTTCAGGTGTATATCAGTATGTAGTGTCTCTACTTTAAAGAGTCCTCTCCTGCTGATGTTCAGGTGTATATCAGTATGTAGTGTCTCTACTTTAAAGAGTCCTCTCCTGCTGATGTTCAGGTGTATATCAGTATGTAGTGTCTCTAC